AGGATGATATATTACTTTTCTTCAAATTATATGATCCTGAAAAAGAGGAGCTACGGTACTGGGTAGTTTCTTTATTTTAAAATATGTTGTAGTAAAAGGTGAACCTTGGTGACATTAGATGTATTTCCATGTTGTGGCAGTTATGTTGGAAGGCTCTTTGTGAAGAGTACTGGTAAGCCATCAGAAATCTTAACAAAGTTAAATGAAATGGCTGGATATGATCCTGATGAAGAGATTGGACTATATGAGGTTTGTTTGCGTTCTCTTGTTTAATATTTTATCAGTTGTATAACTCTGAAAAGTGAAAACTATGAAACTGTAGCTCATTCTTCTATGTTTTAAAGACCATATTCTTCTCTACCTATTAGGCTTGAATTTAGTAGTCACGGTCGCTGTTATTTAGTAATGTTGCTTGTTGGTGATTGATGACAGATAAAGTATATCACATTCCATGAAAATTTATCTTTTCTGCTTAGGCTTTACCTGAAGGGAGAGAGGATCTCTAGTTTTTCTTGACACCTTTAAGTTCTGATCTCAATGATTGACTTTGAATCATTTGGTATTTGTGAATTAACTGTGCCTATTATTGTGCAGGAAATTAAGTTTGAACCAAATGTTATGTGTGAACCTATTGATAAGAAAGTAACATTTCGAGCAAGCCAGGTAAATTATAAATACCATTGATGCACTGAGTTACTATATTTTTATCTTTGGTTGGCTTATTGATATGTTTTTCTAAATTTGCAGTTGGAAGATGGAGATATTGTATGCTTTCAGAAAGCTCCTGCTATAGATAGTGAGGAACCTGTTCGGTATCCTGATGTGCCTTCATACCTTGAATATGTGCACAATCGTCAGGTATTCGGTTTGGGGTTCAATTATAGCCTATTTACTTGGTTTGATGTGATGCAAAAATGAATACTACCCGTTTATTCAGTCTTGTTATTATGTGCAATTTGTACCCCATTTTGGAGTGCTTGCAACACACTCTTTTTTGTAGATTTTTAGTTGGCAAAAATTGATTGAAAACTATAAAAATATGAGTGAGAATTATTAAATTTAGAGTGAGATCCACGTATTTTTTTTTGGGTGATTTTTAATAAATTTTAGTCAATAACTAGGAGTGTGTTGCTAGCATTTCTTTTATCCTATTTCCTCTCTTTCCCCTGCTTACATGCCTCCACATGTTTGTCTGTATGTGTGTAACCGAATAAGCCCTGCAAGCTCCATGTTTTTATTGTAAGCTATCAGCTGAATTCCTTTATCTCTAATCTATGTATTTTAGGTTGTTCACTTTCGATCTCTAGAAAAACCTAAGGAAGATGACTTCTGCCTGGAGATGTAAGCATTGTGTAATTTATTGGAATAAATCATTAGATTCAATATATTGCAAAATTTTACTTGAGAGAACATGCAAATATTTTTATGTTATTATGGTAGAATTGCATCTTTATCATAAACTCTGTATATTAATTTCTAGGTCAAGGCTCTATACATACGATGACGTGGTGCAAAGAGTAGCTCAGCAACTAGGTTTGGACGATCCATCCAAAATTAGGCTTACCCCTCACAATTGCTACTCTCAACAACCAAAACCCCAGCCTATTAAATACCGTGGTGTGGAGCATTTGTCTGATATGCTGGTTCACTACAATCAGGTAGTTATTCACTATTGTTCTATCAGTCATCTTGTTTTTTATTTAAAAACAAACATCTTATTCCTTTGTTGCATGTCAGACTTCCGATATATTATACTATGAAGTACTCGACATCCCTCTGCCAGAATTACAAGGGTTGAAAACTTTGAAAGTAGCATTTCACCATGCTACCAAGGATGATGTGAGCATAGTTATCTGGCTTATGTTTTTTTCATCTAGATTTTTCTCCTGACCTTTTTTCTATTTGTTATTCAGGTGGTTATTCATACCATCAGACTCCCAAAGCAGAGTACTGTGGGGGATGTCCTTGATGATCTCAAAACAAAGGTGATTTTGCATGAATTTTACTTAGCTCATTAGCTTGCTTAAATTGTATAATTCTATTACAGAACACTACAATCACAACTGCGGCCATCTTGCACTCATGGTTTCCCCTGTATTAAAAATTAAGCCATGTTTGCCAGCTTTGTGCAGTTTGTTGTTGTAGTTGCAGTTCTTGTTGATAACATTGTCAACTTTCCCTCAGTTGATGACTTTTCACATTAATTACATATTATATATATCATTATCAATTATTACTGCTATTACAGGTAGAATTGTCTCATCCTAATGCTGAGCTTAGGTTGCTTGAAGTTTTCTATCACAAGATATACAAGGTGTGGTTACATCTATTTTAACTGCTCCTGGGTTTATTACTATTTTTCTGACTAAATTATTGGGAAATCAGAATTGAATATACCAAATTTAGTTTTGACTTGTGATTCTCCAACTGCTTTTGTCACTGAATATATGTTCGTTTTGTCCTGCCTCTCCACCTGTGCAGGTGTTCCCACCCAATGAAAAGATTGAAAACATTAATGATCAATACTGGACGTTACGCGCCGAGGAGGTATTAGTTTCTTTCTGCTTTTGAGTGGGGCTGAGGAGGAGATAACTTCCAGTCCATGAAGTGTGAATGCTTTTATTTATTCAAAAGATAGCACCACATTTTTCACTTCAATCAGTTTATGTAACAAAATAAATGAGTCTCTTCTTTGGTGGTTTACAACTTCTACAGATTCCAGAAGAAGAGAAAAATCTGGGTCCTCATGACCGTCTAATCCACGTGTATCATTTCACTAAAGACACAGCTCAGAACCAAATGGTATATAATTTTAATTGATTCATTTTGCTTAGTGCACTTTGTAATATTTTTTATGGCTTTGATACTTCATGCTGACATTAATTGTATGCCAAACCTTTTATATCCTTGTTTTCCATTTGATTTGATATGTCAGCAAATTCAGAATTTTGGGGAACCATTTTTCTTGGTCATACATGAAGGTGAGACTTTGGCAGAAATTAAAGTACGAATACAGAAGAAACTTCAGGTTCCTGATGATGAGTTTGTCAAGGTACTTCCTCTTCCAGCATTCTGTGGGTATATTATGCTTCATTTTTTAGTAATTTTATTTTGCATGATATAAGTTTCATTGTGTAAATAGTTTAGTATATTTGAAGTTAGTTTGCCTAATTTCTTATTATATTTCTTGTTTGGCCAGTGGAAATTTGCTTTTTTTTCATTAGGGCGTCCTGAGTACCTTCAGGACTCTGACATTGTATCCAGTCGTTTTCAGGTGCATTCATTTATATTTTGGTTCTTTTTTTTTTTTTGTCAATTCAATTGACATTTAACACTATTTTCATCTGTTTGAATTTGTGTTTACATTGTGCTTTTGTTGTATTTTGTAATAGAGAAGAGATGTTTATGGTGCTTGGGAGCAGTATCTTGGCTTGGAGCATACTGACAATGCTCCTAAAAGATCATATGCTGTTAACCAGGTTAGTAACTTTGTTGGCAAGAACTGATTTCTCAATTACATTTTGGTCTTCTCGATTGGTAGTTGTCCACTGTACTCGTAATGCTGGGTCTTAGTTGAGGTGGGAAAAAACTTTATAGTTACACCATTTCAATTTACACGGGTTTTGTTTCAGAATCGCCACACTTTTGAGAAGCCTGTAAAGATTTATAATTAGGAAACCGGTATTGACGAGTTCCTGTCTTGCATGGGATGAATTTGGCATTCTTCTACATCTATGGACTTGTAAAAACAGGGAAAAAAGCAAAAAGGCTACTCTGTATAGCCCAACTAGTGAGATCAGCAATCCTGGTGGTTTCTGCAGGTTTTATATTAGAATTGTGGTATGTAATTCTTTCTGTCAACGGAATGACGTTGCTCTCAACGCTTTGTATCTGCCGACCACAGCCCGTTGAGCTTTTTACTACTTCCAATTTGTTTGGAAGTTCATCCAAGTTGAGGTCATTGATCATCATCACTGCACTGTATCAGTACATAAGATTTTTGGATTAGTGAGTGTATACAGGGTATAGTTGGTTGACTTTTTTTCGAGTCATCTTGATTGCTTCCAGATTTTGTTCAGTTGGTAGTGTTAATTTAAGTGAGGGCTGCAAAATGTTGTAGTGAAGTTATTGTAATGTTGTAAAAGAGACTTGTCAGCCTCGGTATAACTTAGCATAAAATATAGTTCCTGCCGCACCATTTGGTCCATATCTTGTGGCTGTTTTACTTCCATTTTCCGTTTCTTCCTATATCTATCCAAAGCAAAGAAAACCCCAAACAGGAAATCAAAAGAATGTAGGGATCACTTTCAACTACGTCAATCGCGTTTAAAATCGACTTGCTGCATACGTTACTAACTTAATGTTGGAAACATTTCCGGTCAGTGATTAAAAAAAGGAAAAGATGAAAATTTCATTGCAATTAAATAGTCCCATCAACCCAGCTCACAATACGATTAGCCCACCACCCTTCCGAGTGAAAAAGCAAACTGTAGCAGTTGGCCAAAATGGTTGGTTTCATTATCTGCCGCCCATCATAATGGTTGAGAATGTTGATAAGAAAACACGTGGTCGTTTCATTGCTTCAGTCTTTGCCATCAGCGTTCCTGAATATCGGTACGGGCTCTAGTATTTGGTTTGCAGAATTGTACGGGCACAAGCTCTTAGCAGTACAGTAGTTCCAGGCTATCGGTTCACCCTGCCTAGCAAATCTTCGGATCCAGATAGCAAATTTGGCTTTTTGTTTTAAGTTAAAATAGAACTGGACTAGAGTTTCGCGCAAAGTTGGATTTTACAATAAACAACTTGAAAATCTCATTAATTTTATCTTGATTAATAAAATTAATAATAAAACTGTTTTAATTATTTTAAAAAAATAAGAGCAGCGATAAATTTACTTGTGATAGGCACTTGTTGATTACTGATATAAACATAATCTGTGTGCCAAAAACCTGGGCGGGCACCGTGATTATTGAGTAAGCTAATTGACATGGATCCATAGTTCAATCAGCCACGGTCCAAGTCATGTCATTCTCAAAGATCCAATGGCACACCTCAATTCGGCCGGGACCCGACCCAAGGGCCAAGAAAGCACCATGAGATGGGCTCCAAGCAGACGTGTCCAAGTGACAGATTGCAACTCCACGGTTTATCTTCGCCTTACTATTCACCTCCAACAAATCCGCTTCGTACACCCGAACCTTCGGAACCGAGTGGCAATAATAAAGCAAATAAGGAAACAAACTCTGGTGACAAGAAACAGACTCAGTAACCCTCCCACCGTTGATCCCTCTCACAGAACCAACCATCACATTACCCTTCGAACCATTCACATTATCAGTGGTCCGAACCACAACGTTGTGACCCAACACCCCAGTGGCGAAATCCACCATGTCCTCGATGGAACCCACGCACCTCTTTGTCTCACCCTCGCTCGGTGCCCTCTCGCACTCGCTCACCGACTCCATCACTACCTTCTCCAATCTCGAACCGGGCCCCACGTTAAAAACCCGCTTCACATCATGAACGGTAAACGGTATCTTAGACAAAACCGCCCGGGGCAAAAACGACCTTTCAGGCATTTTATCCCTTATATCAGGCATAGCCATTACTACCCCTTCCTTCAACATCCACTCCCGAAAAAACTTACCCTCCTCGACCCACTTTTTTACCATTCTGCCACCGAAACTGTCGTTTTTGTAACTGGCAAAAGTAACACCCTCTTTGGCATACTCAGCGAAAGTGGAGTTCACGCGATAGCCAGAGAACCCAAATCTCTGTTTCTCAGCACCTTTTCCATACCCAATAAACTTGTCTGAGTTACTATTATCCGATTCATCATACCCCGTGAAATCCACGTCAGCACTGTTAGATCCTTTAGCGTAGTTCTCGAACGAGTCTGTACCACCATTCGCTTCAACCCTGTAAGTGTCGAACCTCTCCACGGCCCCGTTACCGCCGTTGCCATAGTTCTCAAACGTGTTCGTTGGAGCGTTCCCGTGGTTAGCGTAGTTCTTGAACGTATCGTTAACCTTAACGCCGCTTTCACCGTAACTCGAGAATCCGGTTACGGTAGGGTTTGAGCTCGTGCCGTAGCCTTGGAACGAGTTCGTGGCGTCGTTGCCATGTTTTCCGTAACCAGCGAACCATTGCTCGCCGCCGTTACCGTTCTCGGTGTAGCTGCTGAAGGATTGAGTTCTTTTCTTGGCATCGTCGGAGTAGGAGGTGAAGACGAGGTCGTCGGAGCCGAAGGCAGGGTCGGCGTAGTTGTTGAAGGTTGAGTCGCCGGCGGTTGCTCCGGCGGCGTAGCTGTGGAAGCTTTCTTCGATGAGGTTCCCGAAGGAACCGTAGCTGAAGAAATCGTCGCTGTGGTTGGTGGAGATTTTGCTGTATTGGCGGAAATCGTTGAGAGGGACGTTGACGCGCTGGTTGTCTGAGTAGTTCTTGAACGAGTTGAATCCGCCGAGTCGACTCGTTCCATAGTTGGTGAAGTTTTTGTTGTTGTAGACGGCGAAGTTGGAGCGTCCGTTATGTTTAGATAGAAGATGGTAGTTCGGAGAACAGAGTAAGCGTGCGGAGGAGCAGAAGCGTGAGAGGTGCGTGGAGAGGGTGTTGTCGGCGGCGAGTTTGGCGAAGGTGGCGGTTTCCACCGCGCTCAGCGGCGATGCCTTGGCGAGAAGAAACTGTGGCTTTGGTAAGTTGTTGTTGATATTCTTGTTCCAGTAGCGAATTAAGAAAGCGTTTGGGGTAAACGGGTTTTCGTTTTTCTCTGTGGCGCTGCTAACCTGCATTCATATTATCATTGCATATTAATATGATATTTTGTTAATTAAAAGCATGGTATATATTTGTTGAAACAATTATGTTAGTGAAGAAAAGTGTTAATGTGCACTAACACAGAGAGATGAAACCAGAAGGAGGAAAAGGATGTGCAACATTGTGGATAGAGAGAGAGAGAGCTTAGAAGAGTTGAGAATGGTGGTGGATTCCATTGTAGATAAGTGGCTGCTGCAGTATACTTTTGTGCATTATTTGTGGAGTATTTTTTATTATCCATAAAATTTATAAAGAATATACAAATTTTCTTTTAAATTTTATTCATGCATTGACTAAACGAAAATGAGTTTGAAAAAAATATCAAACATGATCAAAGATGTAATAAAAAAGTAAATAAAACAAAATAAAAAAGTTTAAAAATATAACAGCTGAACGAAAATTGTGTTAGTAGATATCAACTTCAAATTTGTTATTTTATATTTTTTTATAATTTTTAATAAATTTTAGTGAATAAAACTATGTTAAAAAAGCGGGTATACTTAGGCTCTGGTGCTGTTTGCTTTCAGGGTTAAAGGTCTTAGTTCTTGAAAATCATTGTGTCCCCTTTGCTTAAGTTCTATCCATTCTTCTTCATGCACTAATCATTTCCTTGCTTTCATCCACTAGCTCAGAAGGACCATTTACATGTTCAATGCAACACATTCCACATCCTTGTCATCCTTTTGTAGAGTACCAAAAAACCTACGAATACATTTTTTTAAAGTTTTATTTTGATGTATTATGAAAATAAATTTTTGATTTTTTAAATTAATTACTATAATAATGCTTTTGATCAATATGATAATTATAATTGAATAACAATATATTCAATTAAATTGATATTTTATATATTAATAAAGTCTGTATAAGTTTTACTAAAAGAAGCTAGAGCACCTTTGATAAAAAAGATAGACTACTGATCCACGAAAAAAATATATAAAATAGTTTAAAAAAAAGTGAAAGGGGAGCATATAGCTTGATTCACGACATGGGAAAGAAGCAGCAGATTGGACACAACTACTCTTTTAAAATTTAAAAGAAAGTAGATTGGACACAACCACGGTCTTAAAGTTTAAGAGATCATTTTAGTTTTTATATATATATTGATTTGTGGCTATTTCATTGACGTGAGAATTTAATATCTTTACAGTTTGATAAGTTAATAATAATTGGAAACAATTTCAACGTAAATAAATTTTAGTTTAGTGAATTGTAAGTATTTAGGGTGCCTTTAAATAAGTGCATACTTTTTATTTTTTTAAATTATGACTTATGCTATAAATTTAATCGTATAATTTATCAAAAACAGTTAAAAAAAAAATTTGATAGGCCATGCTAATAAAGTATGATAACATTTAGTTTTGATAACCGTTTATTTAAACAACATTTAATCATGTTATGATAAGATTAGTATAATTTATCAACAATTCAACCTAATATTGTGAAATTAGATATAAACTATAAATGCCACGCTTACTAATCCCAGAAGGTTAAAAACAATTTAATTTTCCGAAAGAAGTGAAAACAACTATTGAATTTGAAATAATAATAACAACAGTTGAGGAAATAAAATTTTCTGAAATCCTAAAATATATACCGGAATCAACTTAATTTAGATTCATTTAATTTTAATTTAGTTACAAAAATAAGTACTCCAAAACGATATCAACAGAAATGGAGATTCATTAATTTAATTGGATTTAGATTTAATTAGATAAAATGATGAAGTAAATTAAAAATTTCAGTTAAATTGGTGAAATTAATTAAATATATTCAACACCGCATGGAAGGCAATTGCTTCTGTATTGAATTACTACCAGAAGATGCTGCATTGGTTGCCTGTGTCTCACTGTCTCAGCCTCTGCCGACACCATTTTATGAGCGATGAAAACAAGAATCAGCCGCCCACTATCATGTTAATAGACCATAAAGTTTATTCAATTATTTAACACCATTATTGAGTAAAAAATAAAATAAATGATTTTTTTATTAAATTTTAAAAATAATAGAGAATTAGTTTGAGAGTTTATCCATCGTTATTTGTATTGTAATATACTATCATTGATTTTGAAAATCGTCAAAGTCTGATAAATGGATATTAGCGTTGGGCAGGGCGACCCCTGGTCCAAGAAAGCCCATTATATCTTGTTATGTGTTTGGGTCTTAACTCGGATGAAGAGGAAGTGTCAGTTAGGGCCCAAACCTATGAATACTAAAACTCCACCCCTGCAAAAATAAAAAAATAAAAAGTAGAAATCTCGAGGTCTATCTAGCTTTGAGAGACTTTGGACTTTGGGGTACAACAATGTCAAATTAAAAAGAGTTTTTCAAGCATAGAGCTTATATTTTAAAAAATAATTCAGATATATTAAAGGCAAAGCCTCATTTGATGAGTTCAATTTCCATGCCAAAAGAGAATAGAAGCCAAGATAAAGAAAGAATCATGCTTGAATATATTGTGTGCCCCCCTTACTTCACACAGTTCATTGGCATAGATAATACAATCAGAACATCTCAGAAAAATAAAATAAAAACCACAATTGAATATTAAAACAAAAGAAATGAGATAATTCATATATAAATTATATATTCAAGTAGCATTGCTTAATAAGAAACGGTACTCAATATAATTAACAAAAGAAAATTAAAAAGAAATGATAAAAAGAAGAAAGAAAAAGTAGTAGAGCTTTGTGATGTGATGTGATGTGAATAGTAAAGACTAAAAATCGAGAGGCTTAGCTCCACATACTTATATTTTAATTTGATTTTGATTTTTAGCAATGGCTACTCTTTCTTACTACACTCTTATTCATCCTCTATCTTCTTCTTCTTCTTCTTCGAACTTGGTTCACCTTTGTCCATGTTCTTCTACCTCTTCTCACGCTCTTCCCCGACCCAAGTTCCAATTCCCCTCCAAACGAAGACGCAAAGCAACCAAGCCCAAGCTTTTGATGATCATCGATCCCATTTTGCTGTTTAACGGCGTTGGCACCACTTTGTATTTCGATACGCAAACACTTCTCGCCACTGTTAGTGTTCTGGCCGCCATTGCTCTTTCTCTCTTCCTTGGCTTTAAGGTTCTTTTCAGTTCTCTCCATTGCTTTATTTTTGGGTGTCTTTTAGTTATTATTGTTGGTCTAATTTGACTAATTAGTAATTTCTTTTATTGATAATGTTTCTTGGCCTTAAGATTACAACTTCTGCATGCTTTTAGTTGTTTCAATTCTGGGTTTTTGGTAATATTTTAAGTCTTCATATGAATTTATTCCTTTGCCTCATTCAGAAATGTACTATAGGATTCCTATGCATTAAACACGTAATTGAAAATACCTTAGTGGCAATAACATTGTGTATCAAAGTTAACACTTCTGTCTGCTGGGGTTTGCAGGGGGATCCGGTTCCTTGTGAGCGTTGTGGTGGCAACGGTAATTATCGTTCTGCATTTGGACTCCAATAATGATGTGTTTTTGTGTTGAATATTTATGGGAATTATTAAGTTTTTATATTTTATACCAAGAATGTGAGGAACACTTAAAATATTATTATGGGAATATCACTATTTATGTGATTAGAAACACTGTTAAGTGGGGTGGGATTAATGATTTGTAGGTTTACAATACTAAGTGTTTTAACAAAACAGAGAAACAGCGAATGAGTTTTACAGCGGAGGAATGGAATAACTGAACTTGTTTTATTCACTTCTGAAACATTCAATTTAAAGAATAAAAAAGAAACTTCCCACTAATACCATGATCCAAGAAACTTCCCACTAACACCATGATCTTAGAATAAAGCCACAAAAAATAACTACTTCCTAAAGACTAGGATAACAAATTAACAACTGAAACAAAACAAAAGAAAAAACTGCACGTGGGCATATTCAGCCCTGAAACAATTTCTAACACTCCTCCTTGCTTTAGGGGCTACAAACACCAACTTTTTGCCTTAGAAGCTTGAATTTGTTAACTGGAAGTGGTTTGGTAAAAAAATCTCCCAACTGATCTTCAGATTTGCAGTAAATTAAAGTTACAACTCCATCTTTCTGCACTTCTCTTAAGAAAAACAATTTAATGTTGAAATGCTTCATTTTTCCATGAAACACAGGATTTTGGGAAATGGCAATAGTAGCTTAATTGTCTACAAAAATCTTCGTACTTTCTTTCTGCTCTAGATTAAGATCAATTAAAATCTTCCTCAGCCATACAGCTTGATTAACAGCAGCTGTTGCAGCAACGAACTCAGCCTCAGCAGTGGATTGAGCCACAGTTTCTTGCTTCTTCGAGTTCCACGAGAAAACAGCAGATCCAATTGTAAAACAGTAGCCTGAAGTGTTTCTCATATCATCAACAGAACCTCCCCAGTCACTATCAGAGAAACCAACCAGCTTAAACTCCTTGCTCTTTGTGAATTTAACACCAAAACCACTTGTGCCTTTCACATATCAAATCACTCTTTTTGCAGCCTGGAAATGGAGTTCACTTGCACAGTGCATAAACCGAGACAAAATATTTACAACATTCATAATGTCAGGACGAGTTGCTGTAAGATACATCAAGCAACCAATCAAACTTCTAAAATGTCCTTCATCAGCTTTATTTGTACCATCTTCCTTGCATAGCTTCTCCTTTTGATTCATGGGAATATTTGTCTCTTTGCAATTCTCCATTTTGAATTTTTTTAGAATCTCCTTTGCATACTTCTTTTGACAAATGAAAACCTGGTCTTTTCCTTGATTAATCTCCATTCCAAGGAAATATGTCATCAGACCAAGATCAGTCATTTCAAATGCCTGCATCATATCTAGTTTAAACTCATCAATAAGCTTTGTATTGCTCCCAGTAATCAAGAGGTCATCCACATAAAGAGAAATAACAAGAATATCATTGCTATTGTGTTTAACATAAAGTGTGGATTCTGAAAGACTTAAAACCAAGACCAAGCAAATAATCATCTATTCGACTATACCAAGCTCTTGGGACTTGTTTTAGGCCGTAAAGAGCTTTATGTAATTGATAGACTTTGTCTTCTTTGCCTTCCACAATGAAATCTTCTGATTGCTCAACATAAATTTTCTCTTCAAGAATCCCATTAAGGAATGCTGATTTGACATCCATCTGATGCACTTTCCAGCCAAATTGTGCAGAAATGCAAGAAGTAGTCTGATTGTATCAAGCCTAGCAACTGGTGCAAATGTGTCAGAATAATCAACACCAAAAATCTGTGCATATCCCTTAACTACAAGCCTTGCTTTATGCTTATTAATTGAACCATCAGCATTTAAGTTGATTCTAAATACCCATTTCACCCCAATTACCTTTTTGCCTTGGGGTTTATCAACAAGCTCCCAAGTTTTGTTCTTCTCAATCATAAACAGCTCCTCCTTCATTGCATTTTTCCATTTGGGGTCTTTGAGAGCTTCTTCATGATCAGCAGGTTCGCATATTGCAATATTGCATCTTTGATATATTTCAGAGAGTAATCGAGTGCCTCTGACAGGTGGATCATCCTCCCTTTCATCTAGCCACGAGCTTGTCTTTGGCATAGAATTTTTTGAATCTTTCTAGTCCCACTCTTCATTTTCTATGAAGTGCACATCTCTACTGATAGTTACAGTTTCAGTTTCAGGTTGGAAGACTTTATAAGCCTTTGAAATTGCACTATAACCAATGAAAATTCTTGCAACAACCTTTTTGTCTAGTTTATCTCGTTTAACCTGTGGAACATAAGTAAAACAAAGACAACCAAACACTTTAATAAAATGCATTTGAGGTTTGTACCCATACCATGCTTCAAAAGGAGTTTTATTATTCACTGCCTTTGTGGGAAGTCTATTTTGCAAGAACACAGCTGTATTTGCTGCCTCTGCCCAGAATTTCTTTGGCATATTTTTTTCATGCAATATGCATCTAGCCATCTCAATAATAAATCTGTTTTTTCTCTCGCTGACTCTATTTTGTTCTGGAGTATAAGGAGCTGTAAGTTGACGTTCAATTCCTGCTTTCTCACAAAATGAATTAAATTGATGTGAAGTGTACTCTGTGCCATTATCAGACCTTAAAGTCTGAATTTTACAGCCACTCTCATTTTTCACCTTTGCTTTGAACTTCCAAAAAACGTTCCCAACCTCTAATTTGAATTTTAGAAAATAAATCCAGCATATGCGAGTTAGATCGTCTATAAAAATAATGTAATAACGACTACCTTTAAGGGAAAGAGTCCTTTGAGGCCCTCCCACATCAGTGTGAATTAGCTACAATTTCGTTGTGGCTCTCTAAGTGGCTGTTGGGAATGGAAGTCTGTGTTGCTTCCCATATTGACAAGCATGACAATCTGTAGAGATTACTTCGAAATCAGGTAAGTTCCTTATCATTTTAGATTTTTGCAATTTAAGAAGCCCTTGATAGTGATAATGCTCAAGCCTCTTGTGCCATAACTCAGCAACATTTTCTTTTGCTGAAAAAACTACGTGCTCCTCCTGAGTTGGATCTAGTGAGAAGCTTGCGCCTCTCATTTTCACCTTAAACAGATCTTGACCTGTAGTATTCTTGATTAAGCAGTAATTATCTTCAAAAAACACCTTAAAACCTTTCTCTAATAGCTGACCAACACTTAACAAGTTTTGGTCTAGGTCAGGTACATATAACACATCAGAAATTGTTTTAGTACTTAAATGTGTTGCAATGGCAATGGTTCCTATTCCTTTTACTAGAATATAACCGCCATGACCTATCCTGACCTTTGAAATTTTTGAAGGCTGCAGCTCCTTGAAGAGTTCCTTGTCATAAGTAATGTGATTGGTTCATCCACTATCAATCAGCCAAGATTCGCTTGAAGAATTGCTTGAAAAACAGGTTGCAACAAAAAGTTGATCTTCCTCCTCTTCATTTGCAATTTGAGCATCTTCTTCCTGCTTTTGAGTTTGGTTCTTGCATATGACAGCTTCATGCCCAAGTTGATTGCACTTGGTGCACTTAGCGTCAGGTCTTCTCCAACACTTGAATGGAGAATGGCCCATCTTGTTGCAATGCTTGCAAGGAGGATACTTTCCCTTTGAGCTTCGTGCTTTGCTTTCATTGCTGATAGCACCTTCTTCGTTTGCTTGCTGGTTCCTTTTGTTCTTCTTCTTTTTATTTCTCCCACCATCTTCATATTTGGCATGCAAGGCTTCCTCAACAAAGCCTTCTTCTCTCATGGCCCTTTGTTGTTCTTGTGCCTGCAAGGAATTCAGCAATTCTGCCAAGGTGATCTTGGATAGATCCTTGGTGTTTTCCAGCGTGGTTATGGTAGCCTCAAATCTTTTAGGTACAGTAACCAGAATTTTTTCAACAATACGAGAGTCATTAAATTTAGAACCAAGCAGTCTTACTCTGTTTGCTATGCTCGAAAGCCTTTCAGAATATTCTTTGATGGTTTCTGACTCCTTCATCTTCTGCAATTCAAAGTCTCTAATGAGATTCAGCACCTTTATGCCTTTGATTCGATCATCTCCTTCATATTTTGCTTTGAGATAATCCCATATGGCTTTGGCTGACTTTAGAGACATGATTCGAGTGAAAACTGCCGGTGAGACTGCAGCAAAGAGGCGCGCCTTTGCCTTGGATTTTCTGGTTTTTCTGTCCTTATGATTCTTGATTTGAGCCATGGTTGGATTGTCAGGAAGCATAGGGACTTCATAGTCTTCCTCAATCGCCTCCCATAGATCCAAAGCCTCTAGGTAGGTTTCCATTCGTACTGCCCAGATTTGATAATTTTCACCATCGAAGACTGGTGGTACAATTGCTGAGAAACTTGAATCTCCTTCCATTTGAGGTGTGGTGTTTGGTGGCACTCAACTCACTTGAAAATACTCAGATTTTTCTCTCTCAGGTCCCTCAAGAATAAGGCGCTTTGATACCAATTGTAGGTTTACAATACTAAGTGTTTTAACAAAACAGAGAAACAACGAATGAGTTTTACAGCGGAGGAATGGAATAACTGAACTTGTTTTATTCACTTCTGAAACATTCAATTTAAAGAATAAAAAAGAAACTTCCCACTAATACCATGATCCAAGAAACTTCCCACTAACACCATGATCCTAGAATAAAGCCACAAAAAATAACTACTTCCTAAAGACTAGGATAACAAATTAACAACTGAAACAAAACAAAAGAAAAAACTGCACGTGGGCATATCCAGCCCTGAAGCAATTTCTAACATGATTGCTTTGGCTGAGAATGCTTGGAGTCTTCTTGATTAAGCACCCCCATAAGGGGTCAGTGACTGAGTGAGTAGCAAGAGGCAAGAGCAATGTGAATTTTGTTTGTTTACTACTGAAATTAGAAGCAGAAAACCTTGCGATGCATGAGTAGATTATGAATCAGGGCACCTGTAGAAGTTTGTGGATGACATATGATGTTCAATTTTAAGCTTGATGACATGTGACATTTGGTTTCTCAACCATATAATACTATAATGTATGGAGTAGAATATAAAGCTTCAACCAATTATTTTTGGATTAAAATTGTGTTTCGTAGTATCCCGCTGACTTCCATATTTTTGTTTCCTTACCCATTTCCATCTATGCTGTCTCCTTTCAATAAATGTATCACCCTGTGAATGGAGATACATTGTATGGCAATAGGTCACTGGACTGGACACTAGAGAGAGAAGGCCACTTACCTATTTTAGTGATGACTTTGAATGATATTTCTACTTTCATTGTTTTCTCAATGCTTTTATTAGTCTTGTGGCCTTTATTCCTTAATCTATGGCATTCTCGCAATCTTGCCTTACTTAAGTTGCCTAAAGGGGAAACTTTGAGTTAGTATTAATTCAAGTTACAATTGTGAATACCATTCTTAACAAGCAGGTGGAACAAAATGTGTTTTTTGCAACGATGGCAAGATGAAGCAAGATATGGGGTTAATTGACTGTAAAGTATGCAAAGGCTCAGGTATCTCTTTCTGTTATCATGTGCATAAAACAAGTTATTATGATTGCTTTGAATATCTAACAAAATTGCTTTTTATTATTTTGCTTTCTTTTTAATCAGAACGAATCATTGGCTCACTTTCTTTTACCACCTTTAAGAGATATTATATAATGTTGATGTGTGAAAATCAACATATTGTATCTCCACAAGAGAAGAAAAAGAATATTATACTCTTTTTCATACCGGAAGGATAACATATTCAAGGCCTTAACGGTTCTTTCCCCGTGTTTCCCCCTTATAGGATTGATACTCTGCAAGAGATGTGGAGGTTCTGGCTATTCCCGTCGGCTATGAGCAGTGAATATTCTGTTATTTCTAAACACCATCTGTTCTAAAATCTGTATAATCTTGTAACAATTTTATTGTTCATAGTGTCTTTTTTTGTGAATTGTTTTAATTATGTTGCTCTGCTTCCGTTTGATGTCTTGGCTAATTGCTTTTTGCATAAAATGCCATGGTGAGTGCTTTAAAGAAATTGAAAATTCAATTGACCAAATTTAATTTACTCTTAAAATACAATAATTAATCAGACGAATAAGTTATTTTAATTGTTTGACAATGGCGTATAGTGAAAACCATTTAATTTGTTCGGTTAAAAATGTCTTACTTGAAGTGCGGAATGATTTACATCAAATATTTCCTACAGCCACCTAATTTGTTTCCAGTTTGCACGAAAGTGATCGCTTTCAAAAAACATGTATCGTATGAGCAGTTTAACATTGTTATGCAGCAATTATAACAATATTAAATTTGCAAATAAGCTTATTTGATCTTTAATATTAAAATTAAAATACGTCAAATTTTAATTTATTTTATTGTATTTCATTTGTTACAAAGGAAGTTTGATCTTCTATGCATTTTCTCCCCTCTCTTAATCACCCTCAACGTGACGAAACAATAGTACTAGTAAATTTCTTATACTGACCTAAACAGGAATAGGTAAAACTGTTAAAATGACTATTTCTCTTGTATATATACTTCATTGCAAAATTCCCTTGCTTATGATTTATATACAAAAAAGAAGAGTTTGGATATCATGGACCAATGCTTGTTTGTAGGAGCGATTTAGAGTGAATGATAAACTATCCAAACATGTAATTTTCATCAAGTCCAGCTCACTCACTTGCTAATGAACCACTATGTTTGCTGGGCAATGGTGTGTTTCTCCGAGACTGGCGTTTTGTTTGGACAAGTACAGGCTCTTGTTCCTCCCACTTTTCACTCATTACTTCACTGTCACTGTCTTCATCTCCTTTAAAAATTGGGTGGATATATGCATTTTGAAGGAACTCTTTCAAATTGAAGTTTGGCTCTCTTGCACGCTCCAATGTGTCTTTCATCATTGCTTCCTGAATTTCACACCACATGACAAGAGAATTAATAACATGAATTTGGTAAAGCAGTGGCTGATCTAAGATGTCAGGATCAAGAGTAGGAGAAAAAAAGCATGTTCAAAACAAAGGCTGTCCTTAAAACTTAATTTTTGTTTGCTTGCTTGCTGAAAGCATTGAGAGCAAAAGTCAAAAACTGTATGCCAATTGCAATATCAAGACTAACCTGTAATGGATGCCTAATAAAAGCAGGTTCATATCTTCCTTTGCAATACAGGTGAAACCATATTGTCAAAACTGGGAGAGTGATGAGCAATGGAGTTGAGTTAGCAGCTTCCTTTGTACTCAACAATCCCATTAGCAGAAGCTGTGAGATCACTAATGCAAATACAATACGGCCATGGACATCAGGCCAGAATGCTGCTGCACTCTCATACTCTTGGTTGTAAACATTTATAATCTGCCATTCAATTTCAAGCATTAATATTAGATAAGAATTCCAAGCATAAACATGGTAAGTAAATGAAAAGAATTAAGAGCACACTTAAGTTCCATGCATTGAAGCTAACATCATTTACCCTTGTTTAAAAGCTGTGCATTTGTGCATCATGATCTACTGATTTCATTATAAAACCATAATCATAAATACAATTACACTTTGTATTGTAACTTTGTGTCAATGGTAAGTATGTAAAACCATAATCATAAATGCATCACAACAGAAGACCTTCTTCCATGAGCCAGCTTTTACCTGATGACGGTAGACGACATATGCCAAACCAAAGAACACTATGATGTATGGAAGCAGAAATGGTGTGACCACAGCATACACAAGGCCGAGTAAGAAATAAAGTTGAATTTGAGGTTCGCCTGTATTGAAGCCAAATGTCCCAGGATCCATTGCTTCTTCACGGTCCTTTTCAGTCTTCACTAACAAGAAATTTTTCAAGTGATAAAATATCAACGGCTTCAACCTTAAAATCTCACCAGCACATCCAGCCCACCCATCCACCATTATGTAAGTTATGAAGAAAGTCGCCTTCATTGGAATTGAGACACCAATTGTTTTTGGAATTCTGCATACATAGCATATGTTTACATTATGAAGAAAACATGTACAAGTCTAGACATGCTGAGATCTATGGAACACAATTATGCAATTCTAAAAGAAATTGGAAAATTAAAAGCTATTTGAAACCTTGACTATTTTACTTTAGGTTATTACAAGTTCAGGTGCAGGAGAGTTTCCCTAAGGCATGCCAAAAGACAACACTACTTACAAATGACAAATCAATAAGAGACCACCATGAATCCTATCTTAATACTTCTGAGTTAATGTTGTTAAATCCAACTAGTTGTGTCCACCCTTATTGACTTTATACTAGGCCAAAAATTTTAGAGTTTAGACAAACCTAACCTTGCATGTGCCATTTGCTTGTTCTTATTTTTGGCTCAATTTTAATGAGGAAAGAAAAGGAAAGTCAGGGGAATGCCAATCAAGTTCATGCGATGCAATAATACAGTTTACGTCACTACCACCTAATGAAAATATAATGTGAATTACACTGATGATTCAGATGAAAAACAGATTTTTCTACGATTGTTTTATGACTTTTCTGAACATGTAAGTTCTAGCCAACTAACCACAGTAACCAGAGTGAATGAACATTGATGAATTCAAGATATAATGTCTTCTAACTTAATCGCTAATATACATGAAAATAAAATGAAAAATCCATTTTTAAAAATTTGAAATGCCTGCTAGAGTTGAAGATGCTTAATTATTGTAATAGTGGTGCATATATGTGGCGGACTTACTCATTGGCAGACTGATGGATAAATTTATCTAGTTGTTGGAATGCAGTCCCAGTAATTATGCTCCCAAGAAATACATTAATGAACTGGAAGATATAATATCTTGTGGCAGATCTCCTTTCTAGACCAGACACACTTATAAATCCTTCGAACTTGGACATTATCATCAAAATTGATGGCAGAAACATGAGGAATATCTTCAAAGCAATCCCAGGAAGGAAACCTTGAATAAAAGATTTTATGAATTTTCTACAATAAAAGAGAAGAAAAAGATAAGTTTCTACCATGAAATCCTATAAGGTATCAAAGAGCCAAGCAACAGGGTTATCTGTAAAATTTTGTTTTTAATCACACTCTGTCAGTGGAAGACATAAAACTTCCAACATATTCTGGGTTGTAATTGTACTAGGTTGCAATCATAAAAGTAGTAAAAGGTTTTCAAATTATTCAATAAATTTTGTTTACAAAGTCAACCAACAAACAGAAATATGTATTCTATTAATGCTAACAAGGAAGAGGATAATGACATTGAAAAAATAACTGACACTTACATTTCAATAAAAGATTTCAGGAAAGGTGCTGCTTTTTCAATGCCTTCAATGTTAGCAAGTGACTGTACAAATGCAATGGGAATCATGAAAAAGAAAGTCAGAAAGAAGAAAGCAACTGCGACTATAAGCCTCCTTATTGTGAGTGAAACATATGGTATTGCCATGTTATCCCAATACACATCACGAGGTTCTGGAGCCCACTCAGTCAACCATATTGTTGGATTTCTGGATTGTTGAGTTTGTGCACAAACAGCTGCACCCCAACGAGTTCGGAAGGAAACAAAGGCAGCTGGCATTGTATATTTAGAATTCTTCATCACCTTTTCTCTCTCCAACTCTATCTGGAAGTTTAGAGGAACGCCAAATTAAATCAAATATACAATTTTCATTTAATGAACAATTCAATAATTTCTTCCAGAAAAATTATGCACAAACATATATAACAATTTGTAGAAATATGTATACTGATGATTATAAGCAAATATTTGAATTTCAAATATGAGGACATAAATTCTGTTGGAATAACATCATAGAAGAAACACTATTGATAGACAAGACTTCGTATGTTGTTTTAGGTGAAAGAAAACAATTTTAAATAAGTGTGCAAACACAACTGATAGACAATATTTCTTATTCTCTTTTAGGTGTAAGAAAACCATTTTAGATAAGTATGCATGCATGCGATATGGCATGATAATTAGATCATGTCTCTTTCATTTTTCTTTTCTTTCACAATTGAAAATGGAATAATACTTCTTTTTATTTACACAATATCAATATTTCCAAATATCTGTGTTTACCTTTTACATCCTGTCTCTTTTCTTTCCCTTTCATTTTTAAATAGAATCCATGTGTCATTTTTATCCTCATGGAACATGTATATGTCTTCTTTTACTTCCCTTTTGATTTGACTTAATATGATCCTTAAATTCTTGTGCAGCTTCTATTAGGGATTTTCATATTAGAGGTTGTGTTAAAATATTATAATTAATAAATTCAAATTTAACCATTCCAAAACCTTAAATAGTAGAAATTAGTTTTTGGTAATAGCAATTTTAATCTACGAGGGTGAGCCTTGGCTTAATGGTAAGGTTTGCAGCTTTGTGCCCTGAAGGTTCAAATCAAGTAAACAATCTCTTAGCTTGCAGCATCTTAGCTTCTCTAAACTCCCTTAGGTGGGAGCCTCATGCAAGCAAGGCAAGGGGTTTATATTCTCTCCAACAGAAATTACAATGTATGTCACACAGCATGAACTTTAAAGAATTTTAATTCCTAAGAAAAAATCATGGGCCATGGACTTGTATGTGATGACATTATAAAGGAAACACATTCAATCCTAGTGGCAATTGCAAAATAAGCAGAGAAGGTACTGCCTTACTTCTTCTGATAATTTCTCAATTTCAGCAGTATAAAAATCAATCGCATCCACTTTATTACCCCAAAGACCTAAAAAACCAGTCTGCAAGCACAATGTTAACAGTGGAATTACATAGAGCAAGAGGAAAAAGAAATGGAATACCTTAAGAAAAATGGCATGAGCTTATGCTGAAGAGAAAGAAAAAATGGACGATGATATGGAATACCTTCTTATATGGCCTTATGGATTGATTTCTAGAATATTTAAGTTCATAGTAGTCAAGCCAATTCTGCTTTTTCTTCTTCTTAGCAACTAGACTAGAAAGTTTCTTTGCATTGTAAACAACCTGAAGAAAAATCATCAAAAGTAAGAAAAAAAAACAACAAAGGTAC